ACATGATTTCTATGTAGGCGACATGTCAAAAGCAGAGAATCTTCTTGAGTTGTTAATGAAGCTAGGTTGCAAGCCTGAGGAATCTGCTACTGCACATATGATATATTTGTGTGGAAAGCAACATAAGTTGAGACAGGCTGAAAAAATCTTTGCAGCAGTAGCAGACTCCACACGGAATTTAACACTTCTATATGATTCAATGATTGATGCGTATACCAGATGTAACGAACAACATGAAGCATATTTGTTTTATAAGGAAGAGTTTAAGAAAGGGCATGCTATGAGTCCTGTTGCCACTAGCATGCTCGTGAATGCGTTGACTAATTACGGTAAGACTAGAAATCTTTGAGTTGGATGATTTTCTGTAAATTCACAAACTAAAGTAAAAAGTTTGATTTCCTTAATGGAAAGTATCCATGCCAAACATATTTTTTTACCTCACATTTTACAATAAAGCATTATATGAAGTGTCAATTTACATATTATCCGCAGCCAAATATAAGGAAGCAGAGGATGTCATACATAGTACTTTTGATGCCAATTTTGAGCTTGACACTGTGGCGTATAATACATTTATCAAGGCAATGCTATTGGCAGGTTGATTTTCCTTTCTCCAGTGTGTACCTTTACTCCATGAGAAAAGTAAATGCATTTGAATGAGACCTATTGATATAAAATTCGGTATCTAGGCAAGTTACACTCTGCAGTCAGCATTTATGATCGCATGGTTTCATTGAAGATTAATCCTTCAATTCAGACATATAGCACTATGATCAGGCTAGTGCATGGATCCTAAAGCATAGACCTACAGATTAATTAAAGATTTCATCCTTGTCATCTAATAGATTTAGTGTGTATGCAGTGTGTATGGACGAGGTAGAAACCTGGATAAAGCGGTGGAGATGTTTAACATCGCTCGGAGCAGGGGAGTACCTCTCGATGAAAAGGCCTATACCAATATGATAAGCTACTATGGAAAGGCTCGTAAGTTTCTCCATTTGCAGGAATCTATTATTCATTGATGTTATCTACAACAACAACAACAACAACCCAGTTGAATCCCACTACAGTAGGGTCTGGGGGGTGTGTGTGCGCAGACCTTGCCCCTACTCGAAAGTAGAGAGGCTGTTTCCAAGAGACCCCCGGCTCAAACTGCACAAAAAATGATAGGGCACAATAAAACACAGATAAAGCACCAAGTACAATGGAATGAAATTCCTGCAAGCAATAGCAAAAGATTCCAACCAAACAAAACACACTACAAAAAACCTCTGAGGCACCGGGCCCATATCCAGCTACTCTAATCCTAGTTCTCCAAATGTTCCTATCTAAAGCCATATCCTCAGTCAGGGTGAGAAGTCCTAAATCCTGCCTAATCACCTCCTTCCAATTCTTCCTAGGTCTACCCCTTCCCCTACTTCCCCCGACAACCGTAATCCTCTCGCATCTCCGCCGTCTCACATGACCAAACCATCTCAACCTCGCTTCCCGCAGCTTATCTTCCACCGGCACCATGCCTACCTGACTTCGGATAACTTCGTTCGAAATCCTATCCAACATTGTCTTTCCACACATCCACTGTAACATCCGCATCTCCGCCGCATGCAGGCGACGCACATGAATCTTCTTAACCGCCCAACACTCTGCCCCATATAACATAGCAGGTATGACTACGGACCGGTAGAACTTACCTTTCATCCTGGGCGAAATCTTCGTATCACACAACACCACTGCCATTTGGCCCAAGCCACTCCAACACGATGTCCAACATCCCTGTCTAACTCCCCATCAGCCTGAATTACCGAGCCTAGATATCGAAACTTGTCTACCTTAGGCACTAGGTGAGAGTCAATCCTAACTTCCACTTCTGATTCCGTTTCCCGACCGCTGAAACGACATTCCATGTATTCAGTCTTGTTCCTACTTATTCTGAAGGACAATGCTACGTTCACAAACAAGATTGGTCACAAACTCCACAAACTTACTACTTATGGTTTAAATTCTCATTTTTAAATTATTTTAGACTATTTAATTTTTTTATAGAAGTTCACAAATAGTAAGTTTGTGAAGTTTGTGATGATTGTGTTTGTGAACCAAGCATTTTCCTATTCTGAATCCTTTGGTCTCAAGGGCAAGGCGCCATAGTTCCAACTTATCATTTAGTCCCTCACGCGTGTCGTCGTTAAGCACAATATCATCCGCAAAAAGCATGCACCATGGGACCCCTTCTTGAACACCTTGTGTCAGGACGCCCATCACCAAGGCGAACAAAAAAGGGCTAAGGGCAGACCCTGGTGCAACCCCATCCCTACCGAGAATGACTCAGAGTCGCCCCCGGAGGTCCTTACCCTAGTCCTAACCCCACCGTACATATCCTTGATCGTGCGAGTGTACGCGATGGGAACTTCTCTCGACTCAAGGCACCTCCATGAAACCTCCCTTGGCACCCTATCGTACGCCTTCTCAAGATCAATAAACACCATATGAAGGTCCTTCTTCTTAGCACTATACTCTTCCATTAACCTCCGCACGAGGTGAATGACCTGTGTAGTCGATCTGCCAAGCATGAAACCAAACTGGTTCTTAGAAATGCATACCCTTTCCGTACCCTATACTCAATGACTCGCTCCCAAACCTTCATGGTGTGACTAAGCAGTTTGATGCCTCTGTAATTCTCGCAACTCTGAATGTCACCCTTGCCTTTAAACAGAGGGACCAAGAGACTCTCCCTCCACTCATCAGGCATCCTAGCTGTCCGGAAGATAACATTGAAGAGTTTGGTTAACCAAACCCACCCACCACGACCCGCATGCTTCCATAACTGGTCCAGAACTCTCCCACTACGCATCCCGCGGAGAGCCCGAGCCACCTCTTCCAGGCAAATGCGCTGTCAATACACACGAGACGCCTCGGACTGCCCCAGCTCATCAAGATCTAGCCTCTGGTCTCCTCCCGCATTTAAGAGTTCACAAAAGTACTCCCCCCATCGCTTAGCCACCTTGGCAGTCTCAACTAACACTCTACCATCGCTGCCCTTCACGCATCTCACATGGTCCAGATCACGGGCCTTCCTCTCACGCACCTTGGCAAGCCGGAACAATTGATTAACACCGCCTTTCTCCTTTATATCCTTGTAGAGGCATTCAAAGGCGGCATTCTTTGCCCTCTTAACCTCTAACTTAGCTTCTTTACGTGCCTTCTTGTACTCCACTCGTAACGCCGCTCTTTCCTCAACATTGATGTTATCTAATGTAGGAAAATAGATAAAGAACCAGAAGTCTGGGCTGCTCTTATTGTAGATCAATATTCAAGGGGTTGTTTGGATGGAAGGTTTTTGAGAGGTTTGAAGGGTAAGATTCTGGAGGGCTTAGTATGTACTCCGTATCTTGGTAAAAGGAATGCTTCAGAAAGCAGACATCAATCACATACTCTGTATTTCATTATTATAATTGTTAGAGTGCATCCCACATCGGAAGTCCAAGAGTAAAATAATCCGGTATATAAGCTCTTGAGTTGAACTAACTAATTGATTGGATTCAATCTTTTAATGTGGTTCAACCCAAGTGTCTTATTACCCAATCCAGTTGTCCATATCCATCCCAAATTCTATCATGGTATCGGAGTCGGTTTTGGCCCACCTCGTTTGTCAAGGTGTCCGTCTAGACGTTCATTCCTAGCGGCCCGTTTGTCTTTAGCCCAGTGTTCCGTATGGAGTATGTATCCAACGGCCTGTGGCCCGTTTAACACGATTGCTCGTCTGGAAGTCTATACCCAGCGGCTCGTGGTCCTTTAGGTGTTGGCGCTCAAAAAAAAATCAAGGGAATGGGAGTCTATTTGCAAGTGGTCAACCGGTTAGATTCAAAATGGCCCGGTCGTCCACTTGAGGGGGAGTGTTAGAGTGCATCCCACATCGGAAGTCCAAGAGTAAAATAATCCGGTATATAAGCTCTTGAGTTGAACTAACTAATTGATTGGATTCAATCTTTTAATGTGGTTCAACCCAAGTGTCTTATTACCCAATCCACTTGTCCATATCCATCCCAAATTCTATCAATAATAATTTTCCAATTCTTCACAAGATCTCAAAAGTCTCCATCTGTTTTCTAACTTTTAATGTTATAGAGCTTTGCATTTGTTTCTTCATATTCAATTTTTAATAAGTATGTAATGAGACAGAGAACCATTTACTTCAATTATTTGATAATCACAAGTCTCGAGGACTCCAACACAAGTTGACCTTTTCAATAGATACATTAATAACTTTTTATCCTCCCAACTCTACCAAACAGTGATTGAAAAGCAAAATAAGTTTGCTGTAGTTCTTGGGCTACATCATTTAACATCAAATGTGATTTTAAAAAAGGAGCATATAACACGACGAAGACCAAGCCCTTAAGCCTTCCATATCAAAACCCATCATCTATTGAAGACCTTAAAGAAATAGGCTCATTGCTTACCATTTCCATGTATCATTCCCAATTGCTTGTTTTTAAAATGTGTATAGCTCATCTTTGATTAATTTGTAGGGAAAGTTCATGAAGCATCTACTCTGTTTAGCAAAATGCAGGAAGAAGGGATAAAACCTGGTCATGTAAGTGTACTTGTACTGCTAGATTTTTAGCTTTGGTTTTTTGTCCACAGTTCTCTGAAGTCTAATATATTGTGATATGTAGTTGTGCTACAGCATTATGATAAATGCATATGCTTTTGCTGGATCTTATCATGAAGCAGAAGAAGTTTACCATAGCATGCGGAGAGATGGTTTTCAACCCAACTCAACTACTTACCTTGCACTTACCCGAGCATACTCGGTGGGATCAGCATTCAACAAGGCAGAAAAGGCTATTGCTTCAATGCAAAAAGAAGGAATTGCCCTTTCTTGCGCTCATTTCAATGTCTTGCTAACTGTGCTTGCCAAAGAGGGGCTTGTCGAGGAATGCGAAAGGATTTTTGGTGAGCTTGGAAAAGCTGGGTTACAACCCAATGTTCAGTGCAACCGCAGTATGCTCAGAGGTTACATGGAAAGTGGCCGTGTAGAGGAAGGCATATCCTTTTTTGAGAGAATAAGAGGGTCCGTTGAGACAGATAAGTTCATTATGAGTGTGGCTCTCCATTTGTACAGGTCAGTAGGCATGGAACTCAAGGCACGAGAAGTTTTGAGGTCTATGACCTGTTTGGGGATTCAAGTGCTGAAAAATCTTGAAGTTGGAGCCAAATCAAGACATCTTCTAGCCCCTACAAAACGCATGTAAGGATTATCTACATACCATGCTCTAGTCTTATGCGCTGCAGGCTTAAATTAATTACATTTATTCAACTACCCATAATAGTTCAAAATTGTCTAATAATGAGAGGTTATGTTTCTAAACATTTTTTTGTTCAAAAAGAAAAAGGTTAAAACATTCATCAATTTACTGTTTTTTTTAAGAAAAAAGTATTTCAAATTAAAATAATGAAAAGGTTATTAAGTTCATTAGGTTGATATTTAGTGTGGTGACGTTGAGAAGTACTCTGCAAGTCTACACAAACATCACTCGTCTTTGTATGATTTTCCACACAGACAAATAAAAGAGAGACACTCAAGGACAGACAAACATACAATCACACAAATAGAGAAACTCTTCTTTTTCCCTAGAAAAAAAGAATTGAATTTGAACTAATTTTTTTTGTCATTTACAAGAAATAGTATGCCATAATTATTGTTTGATAAATGTAATGAGAAAGTTTAAAATATTGACGTATTTGGTAAATTCCATAGTGTTAAATTTTGAAAGTTGTATACATGTATGTTCATCATGTTGTTGAAAATGTAATGATTTTAATGAGATGGAGGGATAATATTTATTAAAATAATGAACAAGTTAATACATGAGACTCTCACATGTGAGACTAGGCTGAGGAAGCAGGTGAACAATTTTGAAAATCGATTTGGTTTCATGTCTAACCAATCTATTAGGCCATGGGCGTGCCCATTTTTCCCCTTTTCCCCTTCAATTTTAATATTATTTTTTAATACTTATTTTAATTCAAATAAATAAACTAAAAACATTAAAATTATAAAATAATTGAACATTTTAAGAAATATAAATTGAACATTCTATGAAAATACAGGCGTTGCTTTTCGAGGGCAAGTTCCCTCGGAGGATGATTTTTGATGTCGGTGGTCATGATTTTGAAATCCTCTTGCACCAGGCGTTGCTTTTCGAGGGCAAGTTGCGCCTCTTTTTCTTTGCGTCTTTGCTCAAGCTTCTCCGCTCTGGCCTTTTCTTTAACCCGAGGTTCTGGAATTGTTGCCACTGCATTTGTTGCCATTCTTGAAATTGTTGCATTTGGAAAGATGTCTCGGCCCTTCGGAGTAAGCTGCAAATGAAGGAAATGGACAGTTGGAGGAAGACATCGGTGGTTGGAATGGATCCATTACACTCAAATATATAAAAATTCTTTAACAAAAATAGCACCATAACTCAAACAAATCGATGGGAAATGTGTGAAAAATATGAGTTGAGTGTTGTGTTTAAATAGTAAGAATTTTGAATTTTTTTGATTTTTTTAGAACCTAACAGCTAAGTTTTTTTATAAGTAAAACCTTTGGACTGTTACCAACGGGAAAAGCGTGAAGGGCACCATGCCTTTCCCCTTCCC